CGGGGGCTCCTGTCGGGTTCATAAACCCAAGGTCCTCGATGGGCCCGCTTCCCAGCAAAAACTCGGCCCAACAGACGGCATTACAATGACGCGTGACTCACTGGGCCGGCCCAGATACCTAACGATAGGCCGGAAGAGCGATCCAGTCTCCGACCGGAAGTCCTGACCAAGAAGGGGACGACGCTCGCTTCCGACTTCGACCCGCTTTTTTGACCGAGAATACACCAAACCACTGCTTACGGCTCTTCTCTGACTGGCGCGGTCGGAGCCGACTGGGAACGACTGACCGGGGACACCCGCTCGGTAAGGACCCCAGAATCAGGCGGAGCAGATAAGGCAAGGCGCTCAAGTCAACTGTAATACCGAGGACCGTACCCTGCACACCTGCAGGACAGTACCGACAGTCCATGCCAGAAGGGTGCTTTGCAAACTTCCAGGCATGTCAGAACCCGAACAATGTTGTGGGCGCTGGCAATTGTCTTACAGTGTTGTGGGCGCCGTCATTTGCCATACCAGGTGAACACGGTAAAGCCTGCCACACGCGTCTGACATAAACAGTATTGTGGCCGCCGCTGACCGTCTTGTACCTGACAACGTGGGCAATAAGACTTAGTAAAACACGAGCACACACACACTCTCTCTCTCTCACTTGTAAGGCCATCTCCTTCACCTATAAAAGGGGATGAGCTCTCTCCCAACAGGGGACGGTCATTCCGACTCTCTCTCGGCTAAGCTTCAGACATTCCGAGCACTCAAACAGCTCTACGGCTCTAGAACTCCAGAGCTACATGGAGCATACGTTCCAATACTTAGCGCACGTAGGAGCTCCCATCACTCTTGGCCCTTTGGTCCAGAGCCCGACCGAATCTTTAACACTCCCTTCTTATTCCCACTCATTTATAACCCCACAGCAAACTTCGAGCACCTAGGCTCAGGAATAAAGTCATCTACCGACTGGATCTGGACGTACGACACGTTGCCTGAACCAGTATAAATCCTATGTCATTGAGTGTTAGGCCACATCCGATCACAACGTACGGCAAAACTACAAATATTTACTTGTTGGTCACTTTTCGCACCGACACTACCACTCTAACAATTTATTACTTACTAAAGCTCTTCTAAAGGAAACATTAAGTGGTTTAGCGCCAAGAGTTGTTGCAACAATAGCTTGCTTTTACCGAAATATATTATACAGGTTAGGATATTGGAACTTAAGGAACTCTTTCAAGCTAGGTATCCTCCCATAACATAATTTAATTTGGGTTCCCTCTCCCACGTAAACTTGCCTAATTTTAAGAATTGGTCCTTCACCCCCATCAAACTCATCTAAAATGGGAATCTCCAACCTTTTTTTTTGGCTGCGAAAGGGTTTTGTCTTTGACATATTTATTTCTAAGTAGTTGTTGCCAGAAACCCTCTTCATTATATAACTTATATAACCACTTACTTAATAAACAATTATTTTTTATGTCGTGATTTTGTAGGTCTAGGCCTCCCTGCACTTTTGGTTGGCAAATGATGGACCATTTCATAAGTCTATTCTTCTTTTGTTGTTGATCGTATTGCCAGAAGAACCGTGATATATAGTAATCAATTTTCTTAAGGACCCCTCTAGGGACTTCAAAAAAAGAGAGCATAAACATAGATAAACTTGACAACAGTGAATTAATCAACACCAGACGATTGCCTAAAGAGAGCAATTTTTTTCCAACTAGCCAACCTCTTTTCAATTTTGTCTTCAATGGCTTTTAAATGTTTGCTATTAAGTTTTCTATAATGCATTGGCAGGCCTAGGAAACGAAAAGGGTAAGCTCCTAGTTTGCATCCAAAAAGAGTTGAGTATTGTATCTCATAATTCTTGGCTTGCCTAAAGCAGAAGATCTCACCTTATAAAAATTTATCTTTAGACCTGATAATTGCTCAAAAGTGCATAGCAACAACTTCATGTTCATTACTTGCAGAAAATCATGCCTGGTTTAGGAAAATCACCTCGTGATATGCATATTGCAGGATAGACAAGCCATCTTCTGCTAGGTGCAGCACTCCCCCTGTACCTGCCCATTATCACTGGCTCTTGCAGTTAATATAGCTAGCATGTCAACCATTAAATATTGAGGACAAAGGATGACTTGCCTTAATTCTTTTTTTTTGCCTGAAAATATGGGCTAATCTGATCATTTACTTTAATGCTAGCATTACCTCCCTGTGCCTTTACCCAAGAACACAAGTAGGGAAAAAATCCTTTCATATATATGCTAGGCATATACATAGCTAGAACGCGGGAATTTGGTAGAAATTATGTTGAATAAAGTTCCACGTACGTGTACAGCTCGTTGAATTCTCATGTTCTGAACATGGGCCCGGTTCGCTTCGCTGAAAAAACAAGCTAAAATACTGTTTCGGCTGATTTGTTGTGAGAGAAAAACACTGTTCCGACTGAAAAAAAAGAAGCCAAAAAATACGGACTATAAGTGAAGTGAACAGAGCAATGGTTAATTGGTTATCATGTCGTTGTATCGCATTTATTTGATGCGGCATGTTGGGCATGTCTGGTAGCATGTTGTGCATATCTACGGCTAGATTACGGTACGTTACCAAACGTCCAAGTAATATATATATATATATATATATTCTGTTTGTTTGGGCTGGTTTGGCTTATAAGTCATGGCTGAAAGTATTGTTGGCTGGTTTGGTGTAAGAGAAAAATATTATTCGTTAACTGATAAGCTATGATTTATAAGTCAAATACGATAGCCGCCAAATAAAGATAAATAAAAATACATAAGCAACGGTCAGCCACTAGCTAGCTGCTAGTCCATTTTTTCTTTGGAGATATGACACATCAAGCATTGAAAGCCATGTGAGCCTCCGCATTGTTTATTCCTGTCATCGATCTCACGGACTTATTGAATAATGATCGAGTGATTAGCCCGGCCGGCTCCCCGGGGCAGTTAGCTAACAGCCAGATTAGCTGAATGTACCCAGGTCGGTGCAGTCTGGAGTCGGAGTCTGCAAATAGTTTAGTGTTCATTCATGCCCGAATTTGTAATCCAAGAGCAGTACAGGCATGACGCATGCGCCCTTCCACAGTCGATGACAGTAATTGGTTTCAAATGTTCTGGTGTTTGTCTAGCTGTTTTAATTTCTCTCATCAATCTGACAGTTTGTTTATAACTGAACAAATTTTTTATATGCAAAAGTCTAAACCATCAGACAAAAATATGTTAAATTTTTGTTTCGATAGCAGCGGAAGTATTGGGACTTGGAGGGGGTGATTGCATCTCTGACGGAGCAGCTGGACAGCCGGAGGCGACCCTAAGCCGGAGACAGGTTGATTGGCCGGTCTGATTTGTGCTGATGGCACGTAGGGGCAAAATCATTTTGATGTGGATGCTCATGGAAACATCTGCATCAGATGTCGGTACTATGTTTAATCCGTCACCTGCCAGCAAGTTAACACTGTGGCTTGTCGTAATCGATCGTAAATTTTTAGCCAGAACAGTATTTTTCTCTCACACAAACCAGACAGCAGTACTTCTTCACGAACTAGCAACGATACAAACCAGCCAACCGAACAGACTGTCGGTGGCGGGTCGCGCCGAGGGCAAGGGAGCTGCATACAGCCCGATCGGCTAGGGTTGGCTGGTTGGGCTGGCTGGCCAACCCCCTCATATGGATACTATTCACATGAACTAGCCAGCAGTACTTCTCTCTCGTATAAACGAACCAGCAAAGATACGAACCAGCCAACCGAACAGGCTGATAAACAACTGCAACTATCTCAACTCTCAAGTGCAAGTTGCTTGCTTGATTATGCTTACATATGTTTAGTCCGGTATGGTGTAAACAATTTCATGATGATAGTTTTTTTTTTACAAAAACACTCCAAAGAGTGTCTCGTATCTTAAGAAAAACAAAGGCTAATATAAAACATAGACAATAAAATACAAAGCAACCTCTAAAAAAAATAAGAATACACCAAAGACCAACGATTGTTTTCGTCCTTCGAACGTCCACTGCCTGTCAGACCTAAAAAATTGCACTTAAAAGACAGGAAAGAAAGAGTTACTTGCAAACACCTTCACCATCGCCAAACGAAGGCTTTGAAGACCACAAAAGCTAACTAATACATATCCACTGAAAGACCATCGGCTGGAGGAACCCTCCAAAGAATGCAGACTTACAATTTTTCATCATCAGAACAAAGTGTTGAAGATATCCGACCTTGATGTACAACAAACCAAAAGAGGCGGTCTCGAGATTTTAGCGCATTGAAAGCTAATCAACTGCTTCCTCTGGTAAACACATCAAACGCTAAGATTTGAAGAAAATTAACAGATGTGACAGTAAACTCTCACAAGTCTTTCCCTGATGCCAGATAAAAAATCGTCAATGTAAGGAGAGACCCATGAGGATAGTGGTAGAGTATAAACTGTCCAAAGAAACATAATATTTTGAAGGATTCTGTAGAGTAACTAGTGGACCGGCATGTGTGGCACGCACGTGGCCATAAAAATGGTCGTTCATAAGGGAGGAATTACAGTGAATTTTTCAAGAAATAACAATGCACATTCGAGAGAACTCAGGTAGAAATTAAAATATGTATTTGCCGCAGGAGTTGACCGCTCAATTCATGTGTAGTAGATGACAAGAATTCAGGTAGAAATAAATTGTGTATTTACAACAAGAGTTGGTTGCTAAGCACCAACACCATATTTACATTCATATCAAAATCCAACCCACAACTAAAACAATAACTTTCTTTCACTACAAGTATCAGCACTTGCATACCTGCAGTCACTTGGGAAGGAGCAGAATACGTGATATCCTATTTACAACAAAGGCGACACAGCAAACTGGATGCTTTTTATTCAGTCCTGGTTCTCATCCCAACAACGAATTCTCCAGCTGAATCATATCATCTGAAATTATGAACTCTTGAAAACTTAAAATTTACGCTTTTATTTACACTGAATATTAGCATATCATTTCATCAGTCACCAGCTCCTGCAAGACACAAATTTATCAGAAGAAACATTTACAAGAAATGGGTATGCATACAATTAACATTTCCATCAATAACAAAAGAAATAACAGCTCACTTGTATTTTGTTTGGGAATGTTGCACTAAACAACATTATCTGCCAAAACCTAAGCCTGATTATTTAAAATTAACCTCGTGCCACATGAATACCATCGGGCTTGGTCTACAGGTTTATTTTTCACTGATGCTCTTTACGAACCTATCTTTTTTGCAACACAAATTTTTGACATAAACCAACCTTCTTTTCACAGATGTTTTAGATTGAATTGTGGTCCATGTGCAGCCAACTTTTAACAAAAAAAAAAACTACTTCTATTGTTAATGTTCTTGGTGACAATAACCTATGTTAAGCAAACAACTTCACGTGCAACGCGCACGTGGATATCAAAACAAATCTCATTCATAAAGGAGGAATTACAATTGGCAATAAAATTCTAGCTTATTTGAAGTGGAAAATTCCATTACTACACGAGGCTACGTTGCAAGCTCCTGAGGCATTATTAATAAGTACATAAATATTTATTAGTTATGAGCTAATATCTCCATCTCCCACATCAAACCACTTGTAAAGCTTATGATCGAAGTATGTTGATAGTTTCTGCATTGTTCCCACTCTCATGCACAAGCCGCTGATATTTTATTCCGACCTTTTTACTGCTAATGCTCAATAAAAAAAACTCGCAACCACAAGATGCTAGCTTTACCCAGAAATATTTCCTTTCATATCAATTAAATTGGGGTGATACCACGATAATATTGCAGAGAGAGATGTTGAACTATACAAACCTGTGCATATGTACTGGCCCAAGAAATAAGTTCCCAGATCCAGTAAAAGCTGCAAATGGGGAAAAAGAAAGAAGTTATATAGTTAACGAAGCATGGGATACTGAAGGTACCACATATAAATAAAGTTCATTAAATGTATCACGAGGAGCAAAAGAAAATATGTCAAAGAATAAATTGACAGGACAAATTCAAATGTCTTATATTTTCTAGATAGATTCAGATTCTAACAAAATGCTCAAGATCAGCAGTAAAGATAAAAGCAATACGTAATCCCTATTTGCATGCTTAGCTGGTTGAGTCTAGGACAAGGCAGCAAAGCAGAAAATGAGATAATATAGTGAAAAAAATCATCAGGTTTTTTCATTAGAAAATACAAAAATGATTAGCACTTCCAAGGAAGTATGAAAAACAAGATGATAGTTGTAGGTTCATAGAATATTTTTCTATAGAGTCTTACCCGTCAATACTTGAGTACCAAACACCTTAGTGAACAAAAACATTGCTATGCCACAAGCAAGAGCAAGAAACAGTAACATTGACACTTGATGTTGTGCAAGTTCTTCATCCTGTGTATGATAACTGCAACCAGATTAGAAAACCGATATAGCAAGAATGCAAAATCCAAGAAGGTGATTGACATTCGACACATTATTAAAGACTACTCACAAGCACTGAGCATAGAAAGTAGGAGCGTAACAATGTGCCAAGTGACAAAATTCTTGTAGTGAAACCGCACTCTTGAGAGTTTGGTTCCAGATCAGTCTATAAACTGCCAGGTAGCATCCTATGTATGCTGTGGTGTGAAGTGCAATATTCTTCATAGTGAAGTGCAATATTCTTCATCCTATGTATGCGGGATTCAGAGCTATGTCGGTCTTCTTGGCGCTGGGCACTTAGCTAGTTCGTACCTCGTTTGTCGCAATTTAAAATACAGAAATTAGCATTACGACATAATATGGTGTAAATTGATGCAACTCATAATTAATAGAAAGATGAACCACTAATGATAATGACAAGATTTCTCACAGATCCTTTTGCGATTAACTAATGTTCAGAGTAGTCAGGCATGACATGTATGTGATAATCAATGAAGAAACTAATTTTGCTATAAGAAATATTACCATAAAAGCTGTCGTTTTTCTCTAGCAGTATAGCAAGCAAAAGATCAATCTTTTGTCCTCTTAGCTTGTTCCGAGCATCCTGATAGAGCCTCTGAAAATCAGTTTCAACTTGCACTTACCAAAGGAAAATAAACTGATTCATACCTTCAAACCGCAATGTTCACAAAAGTAGTGCTTGCATTTGGTGACCACTGGATCAACGAATGGCTCCCTGCAAATGAAGCAGGCAAAGGGCAGCGCCTCCTCATCATGCTCGTCCTCCGCCGGCCTTCTCGCTAGACACCATGTGCTCCCGCCGGAACCTAGCCTTGTAGTCCGTGTAGCCGTGGATCCCCTTGTACACCTCCCCGGAGGCGGAGACAGAGGCACCAGAGGGATTCTTCTTAAGGGACTCATGGGCCTGCTTGAGCTGTCTCTCGCGGATGGCACGCACATCGCGGTCGAACTCCGTCTTTGTCTCGAGCCTGGCAGTTAAGGACGACGGCCCCTTCTTGGAGCGCTTTGGTCGCAAGGGCGCCGCCTCCGCTGCCGTCGTCATCATCAGATCCCGCGGGCATGGCAGGGCCGGCGCCAATCCACCACTGGCCCCAGTTCACCGCTGCCGCCGCGGCCATTGAACACCGGCGCCGATCCACCGCCAGCCTCCAGCTCGCCGCCGCCACTGGCGGCCATCGATTTGGTAGGGTTTCGATTGAAGAGGCGATCGATTCCCCGAGAACTCATGGACAGGCAAGGAGGGGGCGAAGGGGCATGTAGTATAGATCGGGGCGGAGGGGCGACGCACATCAAGGAAGCGGGGCGGTTGGCGGTGTTGCGTGGGCGGAGTCACGGGGTGGGCAGGGAGCGAGGAAGCACGGAGGCGGACAGATAGCGCGGCGCGGGTAGGCGGTGGGTACGCGCGGGTACGAAGATTCTCGGTGAAAAAAAACTGCCACGGAGATATCCGTAAGAGACAGAAAGTTGTCAATGTCAACAGTTTTCGACTGAGTTTCCCACCGGATCTAGATCAGATCTAACAGACAGAAAGTAAGGTGGGTCAAAAAAAAAACCTTAGGTGAAAGTCTATTTCTATTTCCTTCGCTCCTTTTTCAGTGGCAGTGTTGTGAAGCCCAGTGATCGTTATTTCCCACAATGCAAAGCCCAGTGAAGTGTGGCCCAGCAAACGTATTCTGACCCAGTGGAGTCCACAAGGCCGAAGTACATGCCCAATCTGCTTCCAGTTTTCCCCACTGGATACACAGCACACGAGGCCCCGAACAAAGCCCACTCAGCTTCCTTCTGTCTCCACCGCCGCCGACGAGCCGCGCAACCGCACCCACTACACGACCGACGACTCGCACAGATCGGAGAGTGAGCGAGCGAGCGAGAGATGGCCGGGAGGCTAACCGCGGCGGGATCCCGCATCCTGGGCGGCGGCGGCGCACGCGCTGCGGCCTCCGCCCTCCGGCACCGCGCCGGCATGGGCCTCCCCGTCGGCCGCCACATCGTCCCCGATAAGCCCGTAAGTCTCCCGTACCCCGAGTCCAAATCCAAATCCAACCCTAGCTTGTGCTCTCCTCATCCCCGCCCAGTGAATTTCCGTCTCAAATCGATTGGATCTGGGGAATTTTTTGTTTGGGTCGCAGCTGCCCGTGAACGACGAGCTGGTGTGGGATAACGGCACGCCCTTCCCGGAACCCTGCATCGACCGCCTCGCCCCGCACATCGGCAAGGTAGTATGGACCTGATCAGTGATCAAATACGTTGTGCAGCGCAGCATCATAGGCGTCTGGATTGGTTTGATTTGGCTGTATGATTGGTTCTGTGTTTGCTGATGGATAGTATGAGGCGTTGGCGTGGCTGTGCGGAGGGCTGGGGTTCTTCGCTGCCCTCGGTGTGGCTGCTGCTGTGAACGACAAGGCCTCCAAGATACCATATGTGAGTGCACATTGCTAACTGCTGTTTCTCTCATTGCATTTCCATCTTCCAGTGTTTGTTGTGCTATAGATATCACTCCACCTACGGTAACTATGTTTCTACTATGATATTTTAAAAACCTGCCTCCTTGGGTTATTGTTAAGTTACTAGAAGATATTATTAGTTAAAGTTCCTATGAGACAAAATGATAATATTGCTTTCAAATGTTGAAAATCTGGACCCTCATAGAAGATATCTGTGATTTTGCATGCCTATAGATATTACTCCACCTACGGTAATCTAGCATTTTGTAGGAAAAGAAACTGGGAAATGGGTTGATGGAATTGAGGTAACAGATTCACTGTGAGCAAAGCTTATCCATGCAACCATGCCTTAAGTATCTGTAGAGAATCTTGTTTTATTCATAAAGATGAGCACATTGCTTGATGTTTCAGCAAAATTAATTTAATACGGGCACTTATCCATGTCTTAAACTTTTAAGCATTGTTTTCCTAAACATTAAATTGTAAACAGTCGGGCACCTACTGTTTAGCTTTTATTCGGGCTAAATGGCCAATTAAATGGGTTCAACCGCCAATTAAACGGAAATAGCGTTCCACAGTGTTTTCATGGTGTTTAAATCGGCTAAACGGCCGTTTAGGTTTAGGTGAACAGTACTATTAAGTAATACTTTCACACCTCAATGCATCAATCAAATCAAATAGTTTAAAATTGTAAGTTTCGTTTGTGGCTCACTTTTTAACAATTTGGAATTGATTCTTGAAGTTTTATTTGGCACTCAAATGTTTATGGGAGGAACTGTTGATGGTAGCATATTAAGGTTAATAATCTAAGGCGTTCAATTCTATGGCTATGGTGATCCCATAAGTTAACAGCCAGGTGAGGCTGTGGATACTTGTTTTTGAATTTCTTCTGACTGACCATCAAGATAACTTGTTTTGAGGAGATATACTCCAAAATAACTTGATCTGTATTCCCAAATTTCGACTTGAACTGTTACTTGATGGCTAATACTCCCTCTGTCCATCAATGTAAGGCATTGAATAAATCAAATTTTGCAATGACAAAAAATTAGTCGAACTAAAAACATCAATAACTTTTAAATTATTGAGTTTGGAAACATGCGGGTTATATGTGTAGATTTGTATTCGTTTTCTCTTTTTTGCAAAATCTTATAAATTTGAAGGATTTTGAGAATATATTCTAGATAAAATTAGTGGCCAAAGATATGCATCAAAGTCCGTGCAAAGTCAAGTTTGACAAGTATTATTGACTTGAGGGAGTACTCCTTCCATTGTAAATTATTGTTCAAGTCCCGGGGTAGATGAGGATCTCTCCTGGTAATTCCTCGATTCCAATTAACACAACAACTCTCTCTATATAGAGAGATTTAATTGACTCCTAAAAGAAGTGGTTAATCTTATATCTAATCCTAGCCCTAATGGGCCTCTCATACTGCGGTTCTGGCCGTGACGACTTAGACTCGACCCGACACAAACCTATCACCTAAAAAGCCTTTTACATCTCGGCTTAGTGTCTTATTCGCTACTAACAATAAATGAGGAACTATCTTTATTTGTTGCGGCATCTGCCCTTTCTGACTGCCAGCTGGCCGCAACCTGCACATCCAGTGCAAGATTCCAATTCCTATTTGCAGGCCAATGTTGCATGCCTGGATCCCATGGAAGCAAACCAACCATGATGTCACAATCATGCCCTTCAGGAGTAGTATTGCACAGGAGATCACATGTTCCTCCATGCGCATAGTGCAGATGGACTCCAAGCTGAGGATGTACTCCAGATTGCTCAACTTGCGGATCCCAGTAAAGAGATTGTAGCCGCCTTATCTGCTGAAATTGACCATATATGCACAGATCTGTTAGTGGAAACATCTCACAAGAGAGAGCGCATGCAGCAATCACCCCTCCTGGTTACCAGGGAAAACACACGAGCTTGTGGATTCCATTGCACAAACATGTGTTTGCATGGCAGCCTTCTACTAGCATCGCTGCACATGCCACATCTTGCGCCAGGGCCATAGCAGAAGCATCAGGGATGACGTTGCAGATGAACCAGTCTATGGAAATGTCATGTAGGCCCTATTTGTTTCCGCTTATAATCTCCGTACCGTTGGGGTTTTTTGATTCTCAGTTCTGGGTTCTGCTAGTGCAAAGTTCTTAAGCAACGATCAGAAAAAGCAGAAATAATCGAGGCTTTTGGTGGGACTTGCTTTTTTTTCCCACCCAGAATCCGATTATAAGCAGAACCAGACAGGGCCGTAAGCTACTGGCTGCTGCTGCTGTGCGGTGCTTGATCGGCCATGGAATCGCGCACGGTCCGGACTGAGAGCAACTAGGGCCTCATCACATGCAAGCTGATCCAAGGAGATGACATCTGGTGGCTGCTGCCCGCACTTGACGCCTCACCACGAATCCACGCTCCATTTTCATCTTCAGTTCCTCAATGATTGATTAGATCGTTGCACGTCCAGCCGACGCATTGGTGCGCAAATTCTCCAATGATGTTGATTGGTCACCAGTAGCAGAGGCCATGGGAAAGGATCCCTGGCAAGCTGATACCAATTGTCACGCCCCTGGTTAGAAGAGGGGCATGCGGAACATTGGGGGACTGTGGGTGGTGTGGTGAATGGATGTCGAACCGAACACTTGAGATCAGGCATGCCGGTGACGGTGGCCTGGGGTAGATGAGGATCTCTTCTGGCGATTTCTCGCTTAATCCCAATCAATACAACTCCCTTCTCTATATAGAGATTTACTTGACTCCTAAGAAAAGTGGCTAATCTTATATCTAAACCTAACTCTAATGGGCCTCCATACTTTGGATCTGGCCATAAGGCCTAGCTGACTGCCCATGACAAACTTTGACCAGTTTATAGAAAATGCACCAACATCTACAACATGGAATTAGTTTCTTTAGATTCTCCATGAAATATATTTTGATAGATGATTTCTTTGATCTTATATATGTTCATATATTTTTCTAAATACTTGGTCAAAGTTAGCAACATTTGACTTAAGACAGAGCTAAAGTGTACTATAACTTGGAATGTAGGGAGTATGTGTTTATAGTGACAAAAGCTATATTGGATAGATCCGTATTCAGAGGAATTTTATGATGATGTTTATTTTGTAGCAATTGAGAATATATTGCAAGAGAAACTAAAAGTAAAAAAAAAAAATCTATGTTTGAAGGCTTTATCCTAGAAAAATACGACCTACATTGATTGGTGGAGGGAATTGTGAATTAGCTATGATCGAGTCCTATTTATGTGTATGCACTAGAAGCTGTGGGATTTTCCATCAGATGCATCGTATCAGTGGTTTGGTTTGAGTAGAGTCGTCTAAGGAAACACTGTTGTAACTTGAGGATGATCAGTGTTGTACCTTTCAACCCTGAAAATGTCTGCTTGATACCAATGCCCATATCAAATTCTGATTCTAAATGTTTTTTTCTTAACAGTGCACGAATCCCATGACATGGTAGTCTAGTGGTATATAATATTGACATGCTATCAAAATGAGGGAACAATTTTTTGTACATGTCTATGAGCTGCACTGAGAGTTAGTTGTAGATTTCCTTTCTGGCGTGTTTTATGTAGATTAAATCCTCATAAAACTTCCTGATTATTTAATCTGCAAGCACATAGTGACAATAGTAAGTATAGATGCTAACTGAAATTACCTCCTCACTTCACTTTTTTTCTGATTCTGTAACTTCATGGAAGGTTCACAAAAGTCCCTTTGCTGCGAGTATTGGAAACTGGATTAGTTATCTAGCCTACGTAATTATTTATGTTAGTTGGGTCCCAGCCATTGGCTTGGGGCTCAGTCAGCAATGAGTGTCACATATGCGACATGGAAGAAAAAAAGAGATGCAGTACGCATGCTAACAAAGTAGGGAGACAGGAAAGGGGAAGCAAGTGCATCAGACCCAAAATGGAAGTCCAGACAGGAAGTGGCAAACTAAATGTGCCACTGGTCACACTAGATTTAAATAGAATCAATATTTAAATAACTAATGATGGCTACCCACATGAATGTGAGAACTAAACTTTATATAAGCTTGTTTTCTTTGGTATGTAATGTCTACAAACACTGGGTAGTGGGTAATCTTAGAATTGTTGTACAGAATGAGTTTTCTCAAAGAGCTTTGATTAGGCAGAGTAGTTGTACACTTGCACTCTACAACAATATTTATAGGGAAATCAGGAAGTACCCACAATGTATTTACTCTCTTCCGCAAAAGGGCCTTCTGTACAATGGCATGCCTGTTTCACAATATGTAAAAAGAATGTGTATGTCCTATGATTTCTGAATTTTATTCGGAAGTCATGTTATTTGTGAATCAGTATCTGTTCTTGACATGTTTTGTTGAATGAGCTAACCTAAACGTGTCCAATTGTTTCTTGCAGACTCCCAAAGTCTATCCGTACGACAACTTGAGAGCTGAACTTGGTAACAGACCATTTTAGATTATTATTATCTGTTTGACAAGGCATTTTGATAAATTTAGCTCTATATCTCCTTGCATCAGAGAAAAACAGGGAAAACTTGTTTACCATGGTTGTTTTTTGTTGTGATTGCCTTGTTGTAAACTACCGTTATGTGATTTGCTGAATATTGTGAAAGCATGGGTTTGCCCTACAATAATGCAACCAGCTCTGAGCAACTATTCCTGATGCTACGGATTCGAGTATTAACAATCCGGTGCCAGATTTTCTTTGTTCGTCTGTATCCTGAAACGTTATGCACCACTCTGAACCTGTTTTGTAGCAATAATCTGGCAGCAAACATTCGAGTGTAGTGATTACGTGGGTTTGGCATGATGGTTTTCACGTTTCCACCGAAGTGGACATTTGCACTGATTTTTTTTTCTGTATTTATGGACCGTGCCAAGAGGCACGAATTATTTCAGTTTTTCAGCCGCGTGACGTCGCATGGCTGATGTTTCACTCGTGTAGTTGTCGGTTGACAAACTTGCGATGCATGTCACCAGCACAAATAACTCAGAATGGATCTGATTATTCTGAACAAGCTTTGGATTCAGATGCCTGACCGATTAGTCATCACAATGCAATTTCAAACAGATTAGCGAAACATGACTCAACACGACTTCCTACACATAGCCTTAGCACTACAAATTAACACAGACAATTTAATTAACCTTAGTACCTAATTAACACAGACGTTATTCTACTGCTAGCAAACTAGTACATCAGGAAGCTCGGGCACCGCGGTCGGCGGCGTGTGGATACGTCTTAATTAATGAGCTCGGGCGCACTGGAAGCCCTGGGGGAGCTTCTTGCCGCAGTAGTTGACGAGGACGCTGAGGTCAACGTGGGCGCTCAGCTGCACGATGCCCAGCACGTTGGCCCGCAGCGCCGTGCACAGGCACACGCCCGCGTCCAGGTCGGCAAGCCCGCCCAGGAGCTGGCAGCACGGCTGCGTGGACGAACTGGACGACGCCGCCGGGCGCTGCTGCTGGCCGAGCTCCAGGCTCACCAGCCCGCCTAGCACGCTCGCGCACGCGCCCAGCTTCAGCGCGTTCACTGGGCACCTGGCCCCGTCGCCCCGCGCTTTGGGGGTCGGCGGGGAGCAGGGCGCCGGCGCCGGCGTCTGCTTCGGGCACGATGATGAACCGCAGGCGTCTGTGTGGGTGGCGAGGAGGAGGAAGTGACCTAGCGCCAAAACGGTGGCCAGTGCCGTCGCGCCACTACCGTTTCTGCGTGGCACTGCCATGGCCTGCAGGCTTCCAGTTGGTTTGGCTATGCCTGTGTTGCGCGTGTCCGATCGATATGATGTTATAGGCAGGGAGTGTATCTATGTATCGTACGAGTGCATGCTCTAGCTGCCACGGGTACTGGAGGTAGTATTTATAGGGGAGGGGAGGGGTACGCGGCTACGCGCTATACGTTTCACGGATCACGGGTGATCGATACAAGTAACAACCAGTTTGTATGATCTTGCATTGCATGATGTCAGGGATGGTAGAATGCTTGATCTTGAGGGATGGAAGGGGGGCAGGGGATCAGGGACAGGGAGGAGGTGGTTTTGGTCTTTTGGAATGCTGCGTTACTCCGGCGGTGCCATGGTGATTCATGGCTGGAAAGGTCATGCATGCACTCTCAATGCAAGCTTTGAATTCTGCGGTGCCCTGAACGTGTGTATCATGCAGGACCCGATGACGGTTAAATCACGGCACAGCTCAGTTACAGATGGTCCGATCCGGTGCCACCTGTCCGGTTGATCGGTGCGGGCACCTTAATTAGCTTTAGCGCTATACTAGTGTGTACCGTGTATTCGATGCACTAGTGTGTCCACCATGCCCATTGTTCCTGCCACGGTATCGAGCAGTTACAGAAGGCCCCAAGAGCAGGCGGCGTCCCAGGAAGCCCAACCCCAAGACTAATCGGCCCAGAGTGGAAGCAGTAGTTGCGGCCCGTGAATGTGCTTTGACTCACGGCTGTAACGGAATCGGTTTAAGAGAGGGGGAGGAAGCAAACTGAGTCTTGTCTTGGTTCACGCCGGTGTTGATGGAGGTGAGCTGCGGCTCGAGTTCACCGGTGATGGCCAATTCCTTCTAGTTTACTCTACCAACAATTGAATTGACATAGTAACTAGTAGCAGCCTCTAGTGTTTTGTTACATCTGGTATCGAACGTCTCGTCTAGATCCCAGCACACGGGCACCGTACGCGTCTCCAAGTCGGTTGAGGAGCAATTCACCCTCATCTTCACCAAGCTCCCGACGATTAGTCAAGGGAATCACCGAATCAACAATATTTCAGCCAGAACAGTATTTTCAGCCAATTTCAGTCAAGATTCAGCAGGCCGAACGAAGGTCGATGTCTTCGTCTAGGATCTCAAGACGGCAAAGGACGATTTCGAGCGTTGACGCCCGCAGGTCGACAACAAGGTCGTTGATCTCAGCGACTGCGTCAACTCGCTACGCCAACAACTCGAGGAATTCAAGTCTTACTTCAGCTTCGCCAAACCCCGTCATCGGCGAGGGATCCGCTCCTCTCAAGACGTCGGAGCCCGCCCACTTGGTGTGTCCTCGTCGAAGGCGGCGTCTGGGCTGTTAGGCCACGGCTATGACAACACTCACTGGAGAGCTAGTTCGGGGTATGACAACACTGCACCTTGAAGTAACTTGTGACTAAGTGAATTTTTTTTCTTTTGTATCCGCTTTTTATCGAATCTTGTAATGAATATATATTTGAGATCCTAAACAATTTTAAATGTAAAAAATTGAACTAAAAAGTTTTAGATCTCGTCAATTACTGTAACTTTGGTTTAGGTCCATCTGAGGCCATTTGGAAAATTAAAAAGTTTGAACTTCAACTCCGAGAACTTCCTTGGTGGTTTCCAATTACACCTAAAGAAATATGAATTACCTTGGCGGTTCCGAATAGCACTAAAGAAAATACGAATTACCTTGGTGATTTCGAATAGCACCCAAAGAAATGAGCAATTATCTTGACGGTTTGTAATAACACTCAAGGAAACATAGTTACCTTGACGATTTGGACTAGTACTCAAGGAAATGAGCAATTACCTTGACAATTTGGTTCAACAGTCAATAATATGCGCATTTTCTTGAAGGTCTAGTCTCTAGCCAAGGAAACTACATTTTGCCGTGGTGGTTTCATTTTGGCAAGAAAATTCTTGGCCCTCAAGGCAATTTAGAGTGTCCATTTATTTTTACAAAAGAGAGTGATGATGACTCCATTTATGGATTGTTACAGAAGAGACAGATACATGTTATATATATAACTATATATCTTACTATCACTAATAATAAGAGCAACTCCACTAGATAACTAGATTGAGAAAAGCAATCTTCTTTTCCTAAAAATTATCATGTAGGGGAATAAGGTGAAAAAATTGCTCCATGAATCCCCTTTCTCAGTCCCTCGATTCCTTGAAGCATCCCCTCATTCCCTCAAATAGAAGGGAGCATGCCGGGCCTTGGGACATGTACGAGTTCAATCCAAATTGTGAGGCAGTATCGATGCTGCGGAAGGGAGGCATGAATTGCATTGGATAATGAAATCTCACTCAAACCTCATGTTGTATTGAACCTCTAAATTCTTCCTTCCACCTTTCAATTTCTCCCAACTTGTACCAGATCCTCGGTTCTTGTCACCTCCAGCATAGCAAGAGCGTGACAATTACTTATATACCTACGGAGGCGCTAGCGTTCGGATGTCCGGTGCTAGCAGCGCATCTGGACGCAGCTCCTAGTTCCAGCCCTAAAATTCGAATAAAACATACAATAAACACTAGAGTTTTAACTTAAAAAAAGTTTTTACATTACACGATTCTATTCACATTAATATATTAAAATTGGATGGAAGTAAATATATGTACATCAAGTACAGATGCATGCACAATATATATATATATATATATATATATATATATATATATTATGTTTTAATAATCATGAAAATATTTTATTAATGACTCATATACTAATGATACTAACAAGTTATTTAAATTATATTAATGACCATGACATATAATTTATAAAATCTTGCCTTAGATATTTATACATTCTAACTAAAATGGTCGATATGTCTATATTGATTATATAAGCATTATTACACATATAATTTCTTGAAATACTTCAAACATTTTGAGAACTGGGGAGGTTAGAGTATACCACATGTACTATATCTTACTGGTATTGGGTTCCTTTAAAGTAAACAATCATTATAAAACTTGGATATTAGTGTCCTGTCTTGGTTGGCACCTCTTGGCACCTCTACGTCATCCATGATCTCAGATCAAGCTCTACCATCGATCTTAATTGACGTAGTGATGGTTTAAAATTTTATTCATGCCATTATAATCCTTTATAGTGTAGTTTATGGCCTAACATATCCTTATTTTAAAAAGTACACAGTTAATAAAATATAATATAAACACAAGAGTTTCAATTTATCCTGATATTATAAAGTAAGTAGCAATTAATAAGATTATAATTCAAAAATGAACACTTCGATTCATGGCGTCATAAGATATGAGCTGTAACAACATGCACCACAGTTTAGTCTAATGTTTCAGATAAATGTGTATTAAAAATAAATAGAGGTGTCCGGAAAAGTAACAAATTATGGATATGGACGACTAAACATATGGTTATCACAACTAGATAGACAGTTCAAAGTATCTATTGTGTTAGAAAATAAACAAATTATAAAATGTGTAATTTAATATAAGTAAGTTTTATTAGTTTGAGATATTAAACAATGACTAATGCTTACGTCTACTAAGATTCTATCCCATGCGAGAGCACGGGTTAGAGGAGTAATTTATATTAGAAGGTGAATTAACTTTCTAATTTGTTATATATCCACACAGTTCAATTCATAAAGAGGGACATCCAACACGTCCATATATTAGACAAAGTCAGCCATACTAAAACTCAAAACAAAGGAAGAAAAAGAAAACACACAACGATCTCTCTCAGTCATGCTAATGACAATTCTGCACATACGTGTAAATCTAGATTTAAATAAAAGTTAATTGTATAAAGTAATTTTTATTAGTTAATATATATATAAATAAATAGGATTTCTATTTCTTAAGTATCTTAATGTTAGCCCGTACGAGAGCACGGGTTGATGGACTAGTTATCATTAATTAGCTGTTAGTTTAGCTTGTTCTAACTATTAGGCCCTGTTTGAATTTATTATCTGCTAATAGTTAGCTGGCTAATAGCTCATATCTAATATTAGCTAGCTAATTATTAGCTACCTATTAGAGCAACTCCAATGGCTTCGCTAAAATTAGTTACCAAATTTCATTGTTTAGCCATTTTGTAAAATAAAAAACTTCTTAAAAAGAAGAGGTCTACAACAGCCTTGTTATTTTACAAAGTCATATAGCCAGCGCATGTAGTTGGCTATATATGGCCACCGAAAATCAAGGGATAGCCAGCTTCTTATTTTACAAAATAAGATAGCACAATTGTTGAGCCTACTTTTTATTATACAAATTCTAAAATAGCCTCCCCAAAATGGATAGCTCAGCCGTTGGAGTTGCTAAGCTGGGATGTTGGGATGCACACCTAATGAAAAATGCTATAATAAGATAACTATTAGTTGCTATTAACTGATTTGGTCCAACTAATGAGATAATTATTATCTAAAGGTCTAGCTAATAAATAATTATTTTATTAGTTGCACCTGTTTAGATCCAAAAGAGATAACTATTAGCAGATAGCTATTTATCTATAGTGTTCCAAACATGACCTTAGTTTGTTAGGTGTGCATTCGTGTGATCAGGCAACACTGCCACACAAACATTTTTTATAGATGGTAAAAAATGACTTTTAGAGCCAGTTAGCAAAACTGTTATTATTTTATAAAAATAACTTATTTTTAGGGACAAGTTTAAAACTATCTCTAAAAACTGATTTTCAGGGCCCGTTCTCAGGAGGATTTTTTTTTTTCATCAATATTTTAATAATAACTGAGGCAAAAAAGATTAAGCAAATCTAGCCCTTTTGGTCGCGCCAGCGCGGTTGGCGCAACAGCACCACGCTGTCGCACCACATGCACTGGCATGACAAGGGGCGCCATGCGGGCATGGACCGTTGACCCGAGCTGGTGTGGTAGACGGTGGGGCCCATCCTATCACGTTAGCAACTCGGGCGTGACAGGCGTTGCCGCGCCAAGCGGGCTAGCGTGATAGGCCGATATAGGTTTTGTCGGCCCGACACACTTTCTTC